AGATAGATGCTTGAATATTTTATATTTTTGAGTTCTAAAAGAGCAATACAGGCTTCATAGAATAATAGAATGTACTTATATTTAAAGGATTCAAAGTATTCTCAGATTCAATATTAGTTATATTAATGATCCAAATAGCTATGCTTACAGAAGACAAGTGATACTGATATTTTTATTTTATTAAAAGTGGACACAGAGTAAATATCATAATTCAATTTGCAGATATTAAATGATAAAACAAATATAAAGCTTTCAGCAGTGCCTGAGACACTGATGATACACAACGAACGACTTCCTTTCCTCCACACAAATAACTGATCATTCCAATTTCGGGCTCAAAGACTTGAGCCAGAATAGTATTTTCACACTAGGGATAAACCTTTTTAAACCATGATATTTTGTAACAGGTTATTTGCATATAGGAAAAAACATATGCAAATTTATTATTTAAGTAAATGACAAATTGCTTTCATATTCAACACCTGGATTTAATGTTTGCAACTATCATCAACATATTACAAGTTTTTCCTTTACTCATCACATTTAAAAGTTTATAATGAATCACATATGTACTGAAATCTAAGAATTGAGAGAATTTAGTGGCGTAAGAAACCTTCCTTTCTCACCATATTTTACTAAATTTAACTGCGATGAGTTCATGGGAAAAATCTTTGACTAAAAGGGTAGTTTTATTGCTATTAGCTTATAAACACTGGCCTCAAATCTAAAAACTTCCATCATACATCCTAATTTGTTTTTTCATTTGTTAAATATAGAGTGTTTAGTATATCAAAACTTACCCTGTTTTACATGAGAAGATGATGGATGCACCAAATAATATGTCAGTTGTTATATTAACATAACCATTTATNTTGCATTCAGGTGGCACGCCACTCCATTCTCCTTGCTCACCTTTTACTTAACAGTACAATAGAGTTCCCTCTGATCAGAGTGAAGCCTTTAGTACCTTTATGTGTTATAGACTGTCTATATACATAAGTGTTCTGTTGCCGTTGAGTTATTCCAGTGTAAATTTCAGTGGTTCTGGACAAAAATTTCTTTAAAAATATTTCAGCATATTTTAAATTAATAAAACTGGCCAGGTATTTTCACCAATAAGTAAGATCAAAACGATAAATATTTTGTTTTTAAAAATCAAAGACAGGATGGGGAATGGGAGAGAAGATAAAGGGATTAGAAAGCACAAATTAGTGGTCACGATATTGTCACAGGGATATGAAATACAGTGTGAGGAATATAATCAATACTGTTGTAAAGATTATGTAGGATGCCAGATGGGCACTGGACTTATTAGGGAGACCACTTCATAGAGTGTGTAGGTGCCTGACCACTGCACTATACACCTGAAGCTGAAGTTGAATAGTATTGAATGTCAACTATAATTAAAATAAATATAAATATACTCAGAGGATGTGGAGTACAGACAGCATAGGGAATATAGGCAATGGAATTGTAACAGCTATATATGATGTCAGATGGGTTTTAGATTGGGGGAGGTTATCACTTTGTGAGGAGTGTAAATGTCTAACTATTACATTGTTTTGTACACCTAGAACTAAAGAAAAAAATCATTTTTTCTAAATCCAGCATTATTGATGAGGATTGCTTATAAATACCTATAAGTAATGGGTACTATATTTGGAGCTTTGGATACAGTGTTGTAAAACATGAATGCTAACTTTAAGACCAATTTATAGAAATATAGTAATGTGACGCTTAACAACAGAGATATGGTCCGTGAAATACATTGTTAGGCAATTTCATCATTGTATGAACATCATAGAGTGCGTTCACACAAACCTAGATGGTATAGCCTCCTACACACGTAGGCTCCATTATAATCTTATGGGACCGCAGTCATATAAGAAGCCCATCATTGATTGAAATGCTTAATGCAGTGCATGACTGCAATAAGGTTTAGAACATATATGTAAAACAAAAATTACAATTCACTGCACATGTTATATATCAAACTGGTGCTAGAAAAAGTTAAGGAGTTCAGACGCAAAAGCAGGGCAGAGATTTTAGGGAGGAAACAGAACTTAAGCTTAAACCTAAGATGTAGCTTTCTTTAAAGGCAGAGCAGAAAAGAGAGCATTGCTGTTCTTTGCATGGCGGAATGATGTCAAATGGAATGCCTTGGAAATTCAAGTGGCATACTTGGGAAATAGGAATAGATCATTTGGAGAGGGGAAAAAGATCTTAAACGCCAGAATTACATTTTGATGTTTAGGATAAAAAACTTTTAAACATGTATTGACTCACAGCCTTTTATTTTAAATAAGTCTTACTGAGCAGCTGAATTTGTAAAGCATATACAAGCAGATTTGCTCTAATTATATTATAAAAAGTCCCTCTCCCTGGCAATCTCCGTGATAAAAATTTCAATTATTCCACATTCTCTAGAGCCATAAAGTTGTTTCTTTTATTTTTTAAGCAGGAAAGCAATGTGATCACGTGTGTACATTAAATTATATTACACTGAATGCCCCAAAGTACCCAGAGAATATTAGCAAATTTATAAATTACTTTTAGACCTTGCTTTGCAAGAAGCAAAAACAAGCTAATCATATTTACACTAAACTTGGGTTTATGATGACTACANTGCATTTGTTCTTCATTTCCTCTTGCATTTTCATGTTTTACCTGGGATTATTTTTATTCTACTTGAAGGATTTCCTTTAGTTTTTCATTCTGTGTAGGTCTAGTCTGCTGGTGACAAGTTCCCTTAGTTTTTGTATGAGAACATCTTTATTTAGCATTCAGTTTTAAAGAATATGTTCATTGGGTATAGAATCCTAGGTGAGCAGTGATTTTCTTTCAGTATTTGAAAGGTTTCTCATTAATGTCATTTGGCTTCATAATTTTTGTTGAGAAGTCAGTGATCAGTCTCAGTGTTGTTCCTTTGAAGAAGACAATGTGTGTTTTTGCATCTCCGTGCTTTAATTATTACCTTGTTTCCAAACTTTTGCTATGAGGTACCAGGAAACGGTTTTATTTTTGTTGTGCTTAGAGTCCTGAGGGCTTTGGGAATCTGTTGGTTGATGTATTTCCTTAGTTTTGGAAAATTCACATTATCTTTTTGAATATTTCTTCTGTTCCTGTTTCTATATCTCTTTCCCTTTCTGTCTCTCTCTTTCTCTCCTCTTTTTCTAACATGTTAGAACAGTTTAACATGTCTCAAATATCTCAAACTTTTATCTATATTTTACATTCATTTTTCTCTTTGTGCTGCAGTTTGGGCATTTTTAACTAACCTCTCTTCCAGTTCCTAATACTCTCTCCTGCTGTGTCCAAATCTCTGTGAAACCTATCTATTGTGTTCTTCATTTCAGATATTATATTTTCCAGTTGTAGAATGACTATTTTACCCCATTTTTATAGCTATAAGTTCTCTATTGAAGTTCTCTGTTTATGTTTTCCTTTAATGTTTTAAACATATTAATCACTTATTTTAAAGTCCTTGTCTGCTAATTCAATTATCTTGATCTTCTTTATCTGGGTTTATTTTTTCCTGATTTGGTTATATTTTCTTGCTTCTTTCCAAGTTGAGTAATTTTTTTTTATTGTATGCCATGCATTGTATAGAAAACATTCAGATGATATGATCTTCCAAAGAGAGGGTCTCCTTTCCTGGCAGGCAGATTGGTTTGAGGTGATCACATCCTCAGTCTATGAGGGATTG